AAGGTTGGCTAGGAGCTCATCAATTTTATTTATTCTTTCAAAAAACCAATTCTTTTATTCATTGATTCTTTGGATTGTTAGTCTCTATTGAATTAATATCTGCTCTGATTTTTAAAATTTCCTCCCTTCTTTTGGCTTTGGTCTTGCCTTCTCTTCTTTTTCTAGATATTTGAGGTGTACCATCAGGTTATTTATTTATATTGATTCAATTTTCCTGATGTGGTAACTCAGTGCTATAAATTTTCCTCTGAGGGAAGCTTTCATAGCATTCCACAGATTCCCAGAAAGTTGTATTTATATTTGCATTTGTTTGCAGGTAATGTTTAATTTCTTCTTTAATTTTCCCTGTGATCCACTGATTACTCAAGAGTATGTTATTCAATTTACATGTGTTTGTGGAATTTTTGCTGTATCTTTTATCATTAATTTCTAATTTCAAGGCACTATGATATGATAACATGCATGGGATAATTTCAACTCTTTTGTATTTATTTAAATATGTTCTGTGGGCTAGTATATGGTCTATTTTAGAGAATGACCCATGTACTGCTGAGAAGAATGTGTATTCTCATGTTGTTGGATGGGACACTCTGTATTCATCTATCAAGTCCATTTGTTCCCATGTGTGATTCAGTTCTGTTATTTCTTTTCTGATTTTCTGTCTGGTTGATCTGTCCCTTGGTGTCAATGGTGTTTTAAGGTCTCCAGTTATAATTGTGCTATTGCTAATTTGGTTTTTCATTTCTATTTATAGTTGCTTTATATAACTTGGTGCTCTGGATGTTGGTGCATATATATTTAAGATTGCTATCTCTTCCTCTTGAAGTTGTTCCTTAACCAGTATCTTTATCTCTTCTGATCATTCTTGGTTTGAAGTTCACATTGTCTGCAAGCAGAATAGCTACTCCCACTTTTTGTGGGGTTCCTGTTGCATGAAGTATTGTTTTCCATCCTTTGACTTTCAGTCTGTGAGTATCCTTTTAGGTTAGATGGTTTTCTTGTAGAGAGCATATGGTTCGATGTTGTTTCTTGATCCATTCTGCCAGTCTGTTTCTTTTAATTGGTGCATTTAGACCATTTACATTAGTGGCTATAACTGTTATCTTTTGGTTTATTGTTGACATTTTATCTTTCTGCTGCTCCATCTTTATGTTTCTGTTCTGTTTAATTGTCTGCTTTGCTGAGTAGTTTTTTCCTAAGTGTATCTAAACTGTCTTTCAGTATTCTTTTTTTTATTTAAAGAGAACGATAAAAATGGAGAAAAAAGTGTAGAAATAATACAGAATTACAGAAAAATAAACAGTAAGAAATCACTAATTGATAAGTTACATATTGTCATCTTAGAAATAGTTTTCCAGGTTATTAAAGGATGTAAAGTGACATTCAAATAGTGACACTGCCAACAGTTCTGCTAAATGACCCAACAAAAACTTAGTAATATGCTTATTAGTCCTACACACTTGTTTTTTATCTTAAAGAGGGTAAGATTAAACATATCAAAACTGAACAAAACAGTTCAAAAGGAAACAATTTAAAGAGATACATGTTTCGAAGCAAGTCCTCTGGAGATCTTCACTGTCTATCTTATTGTCTTTAGTTTTCTTCCAAATAGTTGTTCCCATCTTCACGCATATTGAATACATACTGCATACTATAGAATCAATCAAATCATTACAGGATGATGAAAGCTTTTTAGGTCTTCAAGATCTGACATTAGGGAAGACACTATTGACTACCATAGTTTCTCCCATTCTCTTCATAGTAGCTGTCCTTATCTTTACATATGCTGAAAATGAACTTAAGATAGTAGACTAATATCACTCTGAGCAGTGAATAATAGTATTGCTAGATTTTATATCATGATGCTACAGAATTAGCATTGGGTTTCTTAGTGTCATAACAAGATAGCAAAACAAATTCCTAGAAAAACATGCAATGAAAAAGACACATAAGATCACAATATTAGGCGATCTGCCATAGTTACTATGCTTTCTCTTGTTATTTTCAATAGACTTGTCCACATCATCAGGCTTAATATAGTTAAGCATAGTATTACATAGCTATTTTTATAAAAACAAAACTTTGAAAACATTGTAGGACTTGAGAGCAGTTAATAATCAAAACTGATATGGATATGTTTTACATCTTGTCATCTTCAGAGTAGTTGCCTCTATTTTTCGACCTGATACTATCAAGCATACCAAATTCAAATAAAATCAGCCAAGGCAAAACTGCAGTCTAACAAACCAGATTCAAATAAGATCAGGCATAGTAAGACAATGTAAATAATACAGGGTTTCAGTTTAAGTTAATAGGAAATTAAGGATAGTTACCATGGTATAACCTGCTACTTTGGGGTTAGATGTCTGTGCCCTCAAATCTGATATGAGTGGACAGACCAGAACAAAATAAATTCAAACTAAACAGAGTGATAAGACTATTGTGACTTTTAAATCCTGATACACTATCAACATTGACCTCTGCCTTCCCTTTTTAGGCTATTTTTCACCTTTTCCCTTCTCAGGATGCTTTGTGTATTTTGGGTCTCACTAGTCCCTTTAGTTTTTAGATTAAGGGGCAAGATCATTGTCTATCTGAGTGTCACTAAAGTCATAGGGCTTTGCTTCCTTCCAGCTGTGTAGTTATACACTGCCCAAAAGTGTCATAGCTTTCCAATCTATCTCCACCTGCTGGATGTGTTGTCCCTATTTCTCTCTGGTTTCCTGTCGCATATAGCTTCACTTTCTCATCTTGAGTTTCAGTTTATTAACCCTCCTTTGGGTTGAGTGTATTTCCCATGCAGAGCATCAGGATGGAGACTGCCTCCTAATCTACTCTGCCTGCTTTTTTTAACTTTAGTGTATCAAGTCTATCTATATTAAAGATTATAGCTTACTGTCTCTGCCTCATGTCTGCTACTCCACTTTACTGCTATAATTTGCCCACCTTACTCCCTCATTTCACTGTCAGCCCTGTTCATTGAGGCCTCTCTGCCACTGTTGCTGGAATTCTGGTATCCCTTCCTCTCTCTCTGGAATGTTCTTTAGCACTCTCTGTAGGGTTGGGCTGGTGACCATGAACTCCCACAGTTCCTCCTTGTCTTGGAAACATCTTATTTCTCCATTAATTTAGAAAGAGAGTTTTTCTGGGTACATCCATCTTGGTTGAAAATTATTTTCTTTCAGGGCTTGGATAATTTCTCCCCAGGCTCTTCTCAATTTGAGAGTTTGTGTTGATAAGTCTGTTGTTATTTTGATAATTTTCCTATTGTAGGTAATCTGCTTCTTTTCCCTGGCTGCTTTTAGTGTTCTCTTTTTTGGGTGGATTTCTGGAATCTTGATTTTTATATGTCTGGGTGTAGATCTGTTTTGGTTGTAGGGGGCTGGAATTCTGTATGTCTCATTTATCTGGATATCATTTCTTTTTCCTATGCTTAGGAAGTTTTCCTCTATTATATCTGTGAATATTCTTTGTAGTTCACTTTTAGTTACTCCTACTTTCTCACTCACGTTCTTTATTCTTAAGTTATGTATCCTTTTCTCATCATCTACCCTTTGAATTGTTTCTTTCTGGTTCCTCGTTATTTTTAACAGCTCTTTTCTTTCATGATCATATATCATAAATCTCTCTTCAAGTTTCAAAAGGCTAACTTTAGTTTCTGTCAAGGAATTTTGCCAGTTTTCAATGGAGTTTTTAGTTTCTTGGTAATCTATCTCTTTGGATCTGTTTCATGTATTCTAGCTTATGTTTAAATTCTTCATCAGAAGTTTCTCTTTCTTTTCTGATTTCCTCCATTCTTCCATCTATGTTCTCTTGGGGGGCCTATCATTTCTTTAATTAATCTCTTTATATCTTGTCTCACTTGGATCAGAAGTACAGTTTTAAATTCATCTATGAGGTCATGAAGGTATTTCTTTATATCAGCTGATGCTGTGTCTAGTATTGCGTGGTTACTGTGCTGGTTCTCTTCTATATTTACTTCTCCTGGGCTTATTTTCCCAGGTTCTGCACCTGGAGATTTTTTTTTAAATTTCTATCTCTTGTCATGTTTCTCATTTCTTTCAGACTAGTGTGTCCTGGGGGATCTCTGGCCCTTTCTGTATTGTTTAGGGTCTTTCCAAAGCATGCTGACTGGAGTTTTTGCTGCCCTCCCCAATTTGCTGTTATCTGAGGTACAGGCAGGGGTGCAGGGATGGTGCAGGCTAGTCTCCAGCCTCTGTGCCAGTCAATCCACAAGTTAGGCTGTACCTTGTGGACGTCACAGAGTTGTGACAATTTTGTATCTGCTTATTGGGTCCCAACCAGAGGTGTAGTTCAGTCCCAGCAGACTCTGCCAGTTCTCTCTGCTCCAGGGGTGGCTGACTGATGTCACTGTGGTGCAGAACTCTGCCCAAATCCAAGCTGTGCTCCACCAGACCTCTCTGCACCACGAGTGACTATCTGATGTCACTGTGGTGCTGGTCTCTGCCCAATTCCAAGATGTCCTCCACCAGTGCTATCTGTGTCACTGATGCTGTTGGGGCTCCGGGCTCTGCCCAATTCCAAGATGTCCTCCAGCCAGTGATAGTAGCTGTGGGACCCAGTCCCTAGTACTCACCAGGACTCAATGCAGGTCCTTCCTCTTGGGTTCACTGCATACTGCGCTGTGTGTCTTCACTGCGTTCCCAGCACAGTGCGGATCAGTCATAAAACTGTGTGGTGTCCAGCTTCGGAGCCTAGGAGCTTCAATGCAGTCTCCTCTGGTGCAACCAGGTGGCTTTGGCTGCTTCACCGGGCTTCAGGTCTCTGTCTTTTAGTATTCTTTGCAAGGTTGGCTTGGTGATCATGAAGTTCTTTAGCTGTTCTTTGTCATGGAAGTATCTTACTTCTCCATTGATTTTGAAGGACAGTTTCATAGGGTACATCAATCATTTTCCTTTAGGATCTGAAATACTTCACTCCATGGTCTTCTTGACTTTATTGTTTGTCCTAAGAATTCTGCTGTGATTCTGATAGGTTTTAAAAATATGGAATACTTCACGAATTTTCATGTCATCCTTGTACAAGGGCCATGCTAATCTTCTCTGTATTGTTCCAATTTTAGTAGATGTGCGGGTTGAGAACTACCCATACATTTTTAAGAACTGTTTTAGATGTGTTTTTTTTGTGCCTGTTTTAATAGTACCTTAATTTTTCTAAAGTCTGGTTTTTTTTTGTTGGTGCATAGAAAATGTAATTGTTCTTACATGCTTATCTTATATTCTGAAATTTTTATTAAATTCATTTATTTGTTCCATTTATTTACCTGTGGCTTATTTGGTATACTCATTCACCTAATCTATTTTTGTTGTTCTAAAAAGAATAAAAGCAAGAAAATAAAACAGATCAAAGCCAATCACAACAAACTGGCTTAAATGACACAAGACCTCAAAACCATACATAATCAACAGTGGTTACCATAATGCCTCTTGTCTTCAAAACAGCTCAGATACCTTCAGACATAGTAGAAATCAAATAAAACAGGACAGAGCAGAACCAATAAAAACAAAAAAATGAATGAAATAAAGGACTTCAAAACAAGACAATATGGCTACCTTAATATATCTTTCTATCTTTGAAATAGCTGCCTATGCCATCAGATATAAAAAATCAAACAAAACAAAACAGAATAAAACCCAACTGACCAAAACAATGAAAATGATACAGGACTTCAAAACAAGGTAATAAGGAATTAAGAATAGCTACCACTGTCAGGAGGTCCCCCATAGATGCCACATTGTGTATTGTGATCCTCTGAATAGATCATTAGTCCGCCCGCTCTACATCTGCAAAATCAGCAAAACGCCAAACACCACAAATATCAAACTTCATTTCACCTCAATAGCTATCATGACAGCCTGTGTTTCTCTGGATCAGTAGGCTGCTTATGGGGAAGTGAGGAGTAGTGGTTGACTGTTGCTTCCCAGCTTGCATGCTGGAAGGGGCTTCCCTGCAGTCCTCAAATGGTGCTGATTCACAGGAAAAGGCTAAGGTTTCCACATGATCTACAGATTTTAACCTAAGCTTGAATATCTGAGTCAAAGACTGAGTTATTGAGGAAAAAGTAATCAATTAAAAGTAGAAAAAGTCTGATACCAAAACAAACAGTTGGCAGATGAAGTGATTTTCATTTCATGTATTCCTTGGTTCAGCCAGCACTTGAAATTACATCTGAGTTCCATACAGAATTACTTCAACTAGTAGGGCAATTGTTTAATCAACAACTGAACAACTACCCCTAATTCTATCCAATATTATCTCATTTTAATACTTATTTATCCTCATAAGCTAGAAAGTATTGAGGTTATTAAGCCCTGTTTTGAAGGCTTGTCAATGCCTATCATGTGGTATTAGGTTGTCTCTCAATTTATTAATTAACTGAGTTTAATTGGAACTTTGAGTTTTAGAGACTTTAACTGTATGTTTAAACACAAAGAATAGATATCATCAATTAAGAAATATATTTCAATGAAGAATTGCAGAGGAAAGAGGTTCTATTGATCTGTGTTAAAGAAATCACTACACTAAATAATTTAAAATTCAAACTAAGAAGATAATCAGAGTAATGGATGCAGCTTGAGACCATACTCATAAGCGAAATAAATCAAACTCACATGTATAAATACCGAATAGTTTCCCAAGTGTAAGAAATGGTAAGAATACATAAAAGTAAGTGGTAATCATGATTCCCCATTATATTACTTTGAAGACATAATGTTTTCATTCATTAATTGGAATGGTTTTATTCTGGGTTGTTTGATTTTATTATCTATGATGGTATGAGCAGCTACTTTGAAGAAGACAAGACATTATAATAGCTAGTGATGATTTAATATCATCTTGTTTTGAAGTCCCACCAAGCTTTTGTTCTTCTGTTTCCATTGGCTTTATCATGTTGTATCTTACTGGATTTTATTAGATGTGATAGTATAAACAAAATTTTTTTATAGACAAGGAGTTAATATAGAAACTATTGTTCATTTTCTGTTAGTTCATTCTGAATACACTGTAATACTTTCATTCTCTTGAATGGTTTTACACTGTCTTTTTATGTTTGAATCTATAGTATATGAAGTATACTCAAATATTTCAAGGAAAGAAACACTATGGTAGCTACTATTATGTCGGATTGTCTTGTGGTGAAACACTATGTTGCTTAAATTATTCTGTTCTGACTGTGTTGTTATGTCCTCTTTTTTAAAAAAATTATTTAAAGAAATACTAAACAAAACAGAAAATGGGTAGAAACAATACATAGTTTCAAAGAAAAAAAATAAACAGTAAGAAATCACTAGTTGATGATTACAGATTGTCCTTTTACGAATAGTTATTTAAGATACTAAAGTGGAGCATAGAAAAGGGGATTCAAAAAGTAAGAATGCAACCAGTTCTGTTTAACTATCCAACAAAAACTTAGAAATATGGTTATCAATGCTATACACTTAAACATACATGTAGTTATCCATATCTTCAATTATGTTGAGACTGAACAAACCCAAGCAGGAGAATATCACTCTGAACAAAGAATAATACTAGTGCTGGGTTTCACATTATGACACCCCAGGATCAGCACTGGGTAATTTAGTGTCTCTTTCTCTTCTAAGTATCTGTTCATTTCATCATGTGTCATAAGATCTGTTCTCATAAACTGTTTATAGGTTCTATGGATGCATGAGTCTTAACATGTATTTCTATCCTTTCTATATTAGAGAGAGAAACAAAACAAAGCAAAACAAAACAAACACATTTCCTCTAAACACATGAAATGAAAAAGGACATAAGACTGTTGTACAAGGAACTCTACCATAGTTCCTGTGTTGTCTCTTGTTATCTTCAATAAAATTGGCTATATCATCAGACATAGTATAATTGAATATGTCAGTACATAGCAGTATTAATAAAAACACAACTTTTATATAGTATAAAGCTTCAAAAGCAGGCAGTTATCAAAGAAGAATGTGTATTGTAGTGAGTCTTGTCATCTTCAGTGCAGTTGCCTATACTGTCAGACTTGATACTATCAATCATATCAGTTTTGAATAAAATCTGTCAATACCAAACAGCAATCAAACAAACCAAATTTACCTAAGATCAGTCATGATAAAACAGTATAAGTCAAACAGGACTCCATATTAAGATAATAGAAAATTAAAGATGATTACTGTGCTGATGTTTTTGGATAGCTGTCTGTACCCTCAAATCTAATGCAAGTAGACACACTGGGACAGAATAAAATATATCAAAGAAAAAAAAAGAATAAAATCTATCTAAGCAGAGTGGTGGGAGTAATGCGGGTTTCAAATCCTGATACACTATTAACAATATTTTCTGCCATCTTTTTAAAGACCCTCCCTCCCATTCACTTCCCCAGGTCACACTGTGCATTTTTAGATCTCACCAAGACCCTCGGTTTTAAGTGTGCGGGGGGAGGGGCAACCTGCTATTTACCTAAGTGGTTCTTAACCTTCTCTCTCCTGGACTTGATCTCTAATTGTATTCCTTTACCTCATAAAGCCTGTCTTTCCAACCTATCCACAAATACTGGTCTAATTGCCCTCTTACTCTCTGGTTCTCTGTCACACGGAGCATTGTTTTCTCATATTTGATTTTCAATCCATGTAATCTTTTTCATGTTAATTATATTTTCTATAAATAGCATCTTGGTAGACCTTGCCTCTTTATCTACTCCACGTGTGGTTCTTTTTTGTTTAATTTAGTGTATCTAGGCCATCTATATTATAAATTATAACCAACCTTCTCTGCCTCATTTCTGTTATGCTCTTTTTTTGCCATCAGTTGTCTGATTATCTTCTTCATTCTGTTTTCTGCTCCATTCACTGAGGCTTCTCTGCCACTGTTTCTGGAATCCTAGTACTTTTTTCTCTCTCTAGAATGCCTTGCAGTGTTCTCTGTAGAGTTGGGTTGATGATTGAGAATTTCCCAAATTCCTCTTTGTCTTGGAAGCATCTTGTTTCTCCATTAATTTCTAGAGACAGTTTAAGAGGGTATATGAATCTGGGCTGCAGGTTATTTTCTTTAAGGGCTTGGATTATTTCACTCCAGACTCTTCTTGACTTGATGGTTTGTGTCAAGAAGTCTGTGGTTATTCTGTGGGCCTTCCTTTATAGGTTATCTGTTTCTTGTCTCTATCAGCTTTTAATATTCTGTTCTTATATTGAATTTCTGGGATCTTGATTATTGTATGCCTGCGTGCAGCTCTGTTTTGGTTGTAGGTGGCTGGAGTTCTCTATGCCTCATACATCCAAATATTTCCTGTTCCTATTTTTGGGAAGTTTTCCTTAATTATTTCTGTGAACAGCCTTTGTAGTTGCTTTGTTTGTACCCCAGCTTCTTCATTCACTTTCTTTACTCTCAAGTTGTAGATCCTCTTGTCATCTTCTAGCCTTTTTATTGTTACTGCTTATTTCCTTATTATTTTAAAAAAGTTTTTCCTTTTATAATTCCACATTGCAAAACTGTCCTCCAGTTTGAATAATCTATCCTTAGTTTCTTTCAAGCAGATTTGCCATCTTTCCATAAAGTTTTTAATTTCCTGGTAATCTCTTTGAATCTGCTTCATCTATTCTATATTTTCTTTATATTCTTCATCAAATGGTTCTGTCCTTTGTTTGAGTTCCTCCCTTCTTCTGTCTGTGTCTGCTTGAGGGGGTACTTAGCATCTCTTTTATTAATTTTCTTATATCTTGCTTAACTTGGCTAAATATTTCACTTTTGAACTTGTCTATGAGGTCCCAAAGAAATCTCTTTATGTCCACTGGTTCTGTGTCTGATATTGCATGTTTGCTGTCCTCATTCTCCTTTGTATTTACCTGTCTTGAGTCATTGTTCTCAGGGTTGGGACCTGGGGACTTTTGTTGTTGCTTCCTTTTACCATCTTGTTTGTTTCTTCCAGGAGGCCCCAGTTTCTTTCTTGTTGGTTACAATTCTTCTGAATCATGCTGGCTAGATGACCCTTCCCACTTCTGTGTGCTAGTGAGTTGCAGACAGGGGCTAGTAAATGCTGGCTCCTCCCCTTCAGATCAGTCAAGCTGCTGAGGCCTGCACTGTATTACTATGTGACACCT